CCCCCGCCGCGCTGACCCCCGCGGGGCCGCCCCCCCGGGCAGGTGCCAACCCCTGCGAGCACTTTGGGCGCTGCGTGAACACGCAGGGCTCCTTCGAGTGCCGCTGCGGCCGGGGCTACGCGGGGCCGCGCTGCGAGACCGACGTCAACGAGTGCCTGTCGGGGCCCTGCCGCAACGAGGCCACCTGCCTGGACCGCATCGGGGACTTCACCTGCATCTGCATGGCGGGTGAGCGCCTACACCCTAACCAAACCTACACCACAACCCTACACCCTACACCCTAACCAACCCTACACCCTAACCGGCATCGGGGACTTCACCTGCATCTGCATGGCGGGTGAGCACCCGGCCATCCTACACCCTAACGCTACACCCTAACCAAACCTACACCCTACACCCTGGCGTCGGGGACTTCACCTGCATCTGCATGGCGGGTGAGTGCCCGGCCACCCTACACCCCAACCCTACACCCTAACCAACTCTACACCCCAACCCTACACCCTAACCAACCCTACACCCTAAACCTACACCCTAACCAACCCTACACCCTAACTGGCATCGGGGACTTCACCTGCATCTGCATGGCGGGTGAGTGCCTACACCCTAACACTACACCCTGACCCTACACCCTAACCAAACCTACACCCTAAACCTACACCCTAACCATCATCGGGGACTTCAGCTGCATCTGCATGGCGGGTGAGCACCCGTGCCTGGGCACCCTACACCCTAACCCTAAACCCTACACCCTAACCAAACCTACACCCTAAACTGCATCAGGCACTTCGCCTGCATCTGCATGGCTGGTGAGTGTCAGCGCCCGCACCCTACACCCCAACCCTACACCCTAACCATAAACCCTAGACCCTCACCCTACACCCCAATTCTCAACCCTACACCCTAACCAACCCTACACCCTAACCCTAAACCCTAAACCATACACCCTAAACCCTAATCCTAAACTCTGACCCTACACTCTAATCCTACACCCTAACCAAAACTACACCCTACACCTAACCAACCCTAACCCTAAACCCAAACCCTAATTCCTAACCCCTACACCCTAACCCCAAACTCTACACCCTAACCAACCCTACACCCTCACCAACCCTACACCCTAAACCTAAACCCCAGCGGCCCCTGGCTTCGGCCTCAGCCCCTGGTGACGTCCCCTGGTCCTGCTGTGGCTTGTCCTGGTGTAGGACATGGCACCGTCCCCTGTCTTGGTGACAACCTCGTGCCAGCCCCGTCCCTCCTGTGGCACCTGGCACGGTCCCTTTCTTCTCATGGCACCTGGCACCGTCCCCTGTCTTGTCATGGCACTTAGCACTGTCCTTAGCCTTGGTAGACTCAGATGGCAATGAGGCTGTCACCATCTCTTGTCCCCTACATGGGAGCTGGCACCATCCCCTTGTCTTGGTGGCCACCTCATGCCAGCTGCCCTGCCAGCTCCTGTCCCCTCTGTAGCACCTGGCACGGTCCCTTTCTTCTCATGGCACCTGGCACCGTCCCCTGTCTTGGTGACAATCTCGTGCCAGCTGCCCTGCCAGCTCCTGTCCCCTCTGTGTCACCTGGCACGGTCCCTTGTGTTGGTAGAGGAGCTGGCAGTGGGGCTGTCACTGTCTCTTGTCCCTGGCATGGGAGCTGGCACCGTCCCCTGTCTTGGCATGGGACCCGGCACAGGTCCCTGGGCTGCCATGGTCCCCTGCCTCGGTAGGTGACGTGGCACGGGGTGGCTGCCACCTCCTGTCCCTGGCATGGGAGCTGGCCCGGTCCCCTGTCCTGGCACTGTCCCCTGGCCCCGCTTCAGGGGGTCCCTGTCCTGGCACGGTCCCCTGCGCCTGGCACGGGACCGGCCACGCGACTGCCACCGTCCCCAGTGCCTGGCACGGGACCTGGCACCGTCCCCTGGCCTTGGCACGGCCACCGGCCCTGCGGGGTGACCTCCTGGCGGGGTGTCCTGGTGTCCTTGGGCAGGGGGGTGGCACGGCCGGGCGCGGTGGTGACACGGGGACCCGCAGGCTTCAGTGGCACCTTCTGCGAGCTGGACGTGGACGAGTGCCAGAGCAGCCCCTGCGTCAACGCGCGACGGGTTCAACGGCTTCAGCTGCGCCTGCCCGGCCGGTGAGCGGGGGACACCTTGGGGACACCTTGGGGACACCGGGAACTCCAGGGGCACCGGGAATGCTGGGAACCCTGGGGGCACCGGGAACCCTGGGGACATCGGGAACCCTGGGGACATCGGGAGTCTAAGGGACACCGGGCACCCCAGGGACACTGGGCACCTCAGCGACAACAGGGACAGGGGGGAATGGCACCCTGGGGACACTGGGGACATCAGGGATACTCGAGGAATACCAGGCGTCCCAGGGACACCGACCACATGGGGACACCACTAGGGACATTGAGCACCCTGGGGACACCGGTCACCCTGGGGACACCAGGGACAGCAGCACCTTGGGGACACTGGGTTCCTTGAGGACACCAGGGACATGGGCACCTCAGGGACACCAGGCACCCCACTCACCCTGGGGACACCAGGGACAGCAGCACCCTGGGGACACTGGGTTCCTTGAGGACACCAGGGACATGGGGACAGGGGCACCTCAGGGATACCAGGCATCTTGGGGACACCAGGGACACGAGCACCCTGGGGACACTGGATTCCTTGAGGACACCGGGGACATGGGCACCTCAGGGACACCGGGCACCCTGGGAACATTGGTCACCCTGGGGACACTGGGCTCCTTGAGGACACCAGGGACATGGGAACAGGGACACCTCAGGGATACCAGGTGTCTTGGGGGACACTGATCACCCTGGGGACACTGGGGACATGAGCACCCTGGGGACACTGGTCACCCTGGGGACACTGGGCTCCTTGAGGACACCAGGGACACGGGCATCTCAGGGACACCGGGCACCCTGGGGACACCAGGGACAGCAGCCCCCTGGGGACACCACCACGCAGGAGCTGGGGGCCGTGGGTGCCTTGGGGACACGGTGGGGCCCGCGGGTGACGCGGGTGGCCGTGCCAGGCTTCGCAGGCCCCATGTGCCAGACGGACATCGACGAGTGCGCCAGCACCCCGTGCCACAACGGCGCCAAGTGCCTGGACCGGCCCAACGGCTATGAGTGCCGCTGCGCCGAGGGTGAGTCCCCCGGCACCCATGGGTGCCCCCCGCCCAAGGGTGCCCCCTCTCCTTCTCCCCATGTCCATTCATGCACCCATGGGTGCTCCTTCTACCAGCACCCCTGTCCCACGGGTGTCCCCACATGCCCATGCGCCCTACCCGGAGATACCCCCCACCCAAGGGTGCCTCCCACCCCAGGGTTCCCCTGCTGTTGTCCATGTCCTTCTCCACCCAAGGCGCTTGTGGGTGCCCCTTTGCCAGCACCCCTGTCCCATGGGTGTCCCCACATGCCCATGCCACCTACCTGGAGGTGCCCCCCACCCATGGGTGTCCCCCACCCAAGGGTGCCCCCTCTGCTCCTCCCAATGCCCATCGATGCTCCCATGGGTGCTCCTTCTACCAGCACCCCTGTCCCATAGGTGTCCCCACATGCCCATGCACCCTACCCGGAGAGGCCTCCCACCCAAGGGGGTCCCCCCCACCCAAGGGTGCCCCCTCTGCTCCTCCCAATGCCCATTGATGATCCCATAGATGCCCCTTTGCCAGCACCCCTGTCCCACGGGTGTCCCCACATGCCCATGCCACCTACTCGGAGATGCCCCCCACCCAAGGGTGTCCCCCCACCCAAGGGTGCCCCCTCTGCTCCTCCCAATGCCCACTGATGATCCCATAGATGCCCCTTTGCCAGCTCCCCTGTCCCACGGGTGTCCCCACATGCCCATGTGTCCTATATGGAGGGGCCCCCACCCAAGGGTGTCCCCTCTGCTCCTCCCAATGCCCACTGATGATCCCATAGATGCCCCTTTGCCAGCTCCCCTGTCCCACGGGTGTCCCCACATGCCCATGTGTCCTATATGGAGGGGCCCCCACCCAAGGGTGTCCCCTCTGCTCCTCCCAATGCCCACTGATGATCCCATAGATGCCCCTTTGCCAGCTCCCCTGTCCCACGGGTGTCCCCACATGCCCATGTGTCCTATATGGAGGGGCCCCCACCCAAGGGTGTCCCCTCTGCTCCTCCCAATGCCCACTGATGATCCCATAGATGCCCCTTTGCCAGCTCCCCTGTCCCACGGGTGTCCCCACATGCCCATGTGTCCTATATGGAGGGGCCCCCACCCAAGGGTGTCCCCTCTGCTCCTCCCAATGCCCACTGATGATCCCATAGATGCCCCTTTGCCAGCTCCCCTGTCCCACGGGTGTCCCCACATGCCCATGTGTCCTATATGGAGGGGCCCCCACCCAAGGGTGTCCCCTCTGCTCCTCCCAATGCCCACTGATGATCCCATAGATGCCCCTTTGCCAGCTCCCCTGTCCCACGGGTGTCCCCACATGCCCATGTGTCCTATATGGAGGGGCCCCCACCCAAGGGTGTCCCCTCTGCTCCTCCCAATGCCCACTGATGATCCCATAGATGCCCCTTTGCCAGCTCCCCTGTCCCACGGGTGTCCCCACATGCCCATGTGTCCTATATGGAGGGGCCCCCACCCAAGGGTGTCCCCTCTGCTCCTCCCAATGCCCACTGATGATCCCATAGATGCCCCTTTGCCAGCTCCCCTGTCCCACGGGTGTCCCCACATGCCCATGTGTCCTATATGGAGGTGCCCCCACCCAAGGGTGTCCCCTCTGCTCCTCCCAATGCCCATTGATGCTCCCATGGGTGCTCCTTCTACCAGCACCCCTGTCCCATGCGCGCCCGGCTACACGGGCGCCCGCTGCGAGGCGCAGCTGGACGAGTGCCAGAGCAGCCCGTGCCAGCACGGCGCCAAGTGCATCGACCGCATCGACCACTACCAGTGCGTCTGCCCGCCCGGCACCTCGGGTGAGGCCCGGCAGGATGGCAGGGGTGATGGGAATGGCACCACGTGGGATGGAGGCCCATCAGGATGGCATGGGTGATGGGCACAGGGCTGGGTGGCACAGGGGCTCGTTGGAGAGGTTAGGGTGGTGGCAATGGTACCACGTGGGATGGAGGCCCATCAGGATGAGGTAGGTGTTGGGAATGGCACCACATTCCCAACATTGGGATGGAGGCCCATCAGGATGGCATGAGTGATGGGCATGGTGATGGGTAGCACAGTGGCTCGCTGGAGAGGGAAGGGTGGTGGGAATGGCACCTTGTGGGATGGAGGCCCATCAGGATGAGGTAGGTGTTGGGAATGGCACCACATTCCCAACATTGGGATGGAGGCCCATCAGGATGGCATGGGTGATGGGCATGGTGCTCTGTGGCACAGGGGCTCGTTGGAGTGGGGAGGGTGGTGAGAATGGCACCATGTGGGGTGGAGGCCCATCAGAATGAGGTAGGTGTCGGGAATGGCACCACATTCCCAACATTGGGATGGAGGCCCATCAGGATGGCATGGGTGATGGGCATGGTGCTGGGTGACACGGGGGCTCGTTGGAGAGGCTAGGGGGGGGGGGATGGGACCACGCATCAGGAGGCCCATCAGGATGGCATGGGTGGTGGGAATGGTACCACGTGGGATGGAGGCCCATCAGGATGGCATGGGTGATGGGCATGGTGCTGGGTGGCACAGGGGCTCGTTGGAGAGATTAGGATGGTGGGACTGGCACCACGTGGGATGGAGGTCCATCAGGATGAGGTAGGTGATGGGAATGGCACCTTGTGGGATGGATGCCCATCAGGATGGCATGGGTGATGGACACAGTGCTGGGTGGCACCATGGCTCTTTTGAGAGGGGAGGGCAGTGGGAATGGTGCCACGTGGTATGGAGGACCATCAGAAGGGTATGGGTGGTGGGAATGGCACCACATAGGATGGTGCCCATCAGGATGGCATGCGTGGTGGGAATGGCACCATGTGGGATGGAGGCCCATCAGGAGGGCAAGGGTGGTGGGCATGGTGCTGGATGGCTTGGTGGCCCCCCAGAACACAGAGACCTTGATTGGCATGGTGTGGGTGTCCCGGTGTCCCATCAGGGCACGGGCTGGGTGATGGGCACGGCGTTGGGAGCAGTGGGGACATGGGCAGGGTGGCAGAGGTGGCACCGGGTGACGCCGGCGGTGCCCCCTGTGCCAGGCGTGAACTGCGAGGTGAACTTCGACGACTGCGCCAGTGACCCCTGCGACTACGGCGTGTGCCAGGATGGCATCAACCGCTACGACTGCATCTGCAAGCCCGGCTTCACAGGTGGGCGGGCACCCAGGGGTGCCCCTGGCCAGTGGCCAGGACCCAAGAGATGCCCGTGGCCACCTGGGGGAGATGCTCTTGGCAGATGCCCATGGTGGTGGCTCTGGTCATCGTGCCCAGCAGTGCCCGCCATTGTTTCTCATGGATGATGCCCACTTAGGGTCTTGGGGAGATGCCCATGGCTCCTGAGGAGCACCCACTGTGCAGATCTACCATGGGTGCCCATCTTGGGTGCCCATGGCCATTCTTCATGGATGGTGCCCACTTGGGACCCTGGGGTGATGTCTGCCACAGAACAGCACCTACTATGGGTGACCACCTTGAGTGTCCAGTGTAGATGCCCATGGCCATTCCCCGTGGATGATGCCCTTGTGGCACCCATGAGCGATGCCCTTGTGTCCACAAGCATCACCCACCGTGGGTGCCCACCATGCCTGCCCATCATGGTGCCCATTGCCATTCCTCACGGATGATGCCCTTGTGGTGGCAGGGAGTGATGCCCATGGCCCTGAGCAGCACCCACCATGGGTGCCTACCATGGATGCCCATTCCTCATGGATGGTGCCCACTCAGGGCTTTGGGGAGATGCCCATGACCATGCCTGTCAATTCGGATACCGGACCTAACAGTAGCTCACTGCATAAGGCTCATAATTTGGTGCTGTGCAAATGGATCTACTTTTTGCTACTTTAGAAATAAGGAAGAATTAAATATACTGTCAAGAACAAACTAGGAAGTAATAACTTCTTTGACTTTACCCACTGGCGACTCTTAGCTGTGCTGTCCATAGTAATCATCACAATTTAAAATATTATCTTTGTCAGTCTATTTAATTTGAGATTCAGAACATTTCCAAACTTTAAACCATAGTCAAATCATCTCACATGACTTGAGGCACCCAGCAGAGGTGGGTAAACAGTTTCCTTATCCTTCCTCTGTGTCAAATAGAGAGAGGATAATAGAGCTGGAGACTCATATCTTAGACAAAGTCATAAGTGCCTCCTTCTCACTTTCATGCTCTGTATCAATTACAGAAAGAGTTTACAGGAGCTGTGTTCCTTATTGCAGCTTATGAGCTAAGTATCGAGGTTTCTGGGGTGTTTTGAGACTCATAGTTTAAATTCTCTCCTTCATTCCTTTGACACATAACGATAGAGATAAAAGAGTTACTGTCAGGACAACATATTTCACCACAAACATGGTAAATCATATCAACTATTTACAATATTCCTTCTTGCTGTAGGTTTGGTATAAGAGTCTGGGTCATCTCCTTGCAATAAAGAATAAATTGTTTGAATATTATCCATCCTGGAGTTTAGCAGGACTGAGTCCAGCATTTTGATCATATAATAGAAATGTTTGATTGTAGTTGTAAGAAAGTAAAACTATGTCTTAGCAGAAGACATTTTTATTGATTCTTTGCAACAGAAATTTTGAGCACTGTCTACTGAACATTCACAGGTGATTTCATGACATAACTTAGAGCTCTGACTGTGTTGCAGTCTCCTACAAATGAGCACTTGCATATCCAAAAAAGATATCCAAAAAAGTTCTTGCTTATCAAGAACTTGGTGCTCAAAATTACTTATTCTTTTGGCTGGTGGCTAAAAGTATTACAGTAGTTGTTTTAATCTTACAGAAGCAGGAACGTCTCCTGATCTTTTCCTCATTTGAGGCCTCAACAGAGGCCTCACCAGACACTATGTGCTGAAGATGCAACCTGTTCTTGAGGTTCCCAGATGATTCAGTGGCTGCAGGGATGGTTACCTCCTGGGTGCCTTGCAGCTGGAGTGCACTGTGTTTCATTTTGGGGCATATGCTTGCATTTCTTTTGTATTGCCTTTGTGGTGCCCGCAAGTGATGCCCATGGCCCCGAGCAGCACCCATCATGGGTGCCCACCATGGATGCCTATGGCCATTCGCCATGGATGGTGCCCGAATAGTTTGCACCTAGTGCTTCCTCAGAACAGAGCTGGGTTAAGACATTCGCTTGAACCAGATAAGGTGTAATCGGTCGATTATCCTTGATCTAGCATTGGTTTTGTGATGCCAAAGGGAGTCAGTAACTCTTTTGCAGTTATATACTGTTTTCTACAAGGTTTACACATGCCAGTTATCCTTAATCAAAGCCACACTGTTCATCATAGGAATTCATATTGTTTAGACAGCCCTGGTCAGAGTAGTGTCATTGTGCTGTCAATTTTGAAAATATGTGTGACAGATATGCTCCTTCCCCAGCTCGACCTGACTTCTCACAGGTAGCCCTGTTCAGGTGTTAACTACCACATTATCTGATCCTGGTAGTTGCCTCCCTGATTTCTTCCCCCACCCAGACATTAACCATCAATAACAGTCCTGATGGCCCTATCCTGATGGGGAGAT